CCCTGTGGGAGCTGCCTGCCTGTCCGGGTGTCACCGGCCCCCTCGGCCTCCCACCAAGGTACTGGTGCCCCTTCCCTGGAGCCCACGTGCCCCTGCCTGTGGCCGAGCCGGCCGCCTCCAGAGTGGGGACACGGGGGCTGGGCGTGGTGACCGTCCCTGCCATGCGGGGTGTCCTCGTCGCTGCTCCCGCCCCGCGGTCCTGGGCTGTCCCGGGACCTGTGAGCAGCGGGTCAGGCGAGGAAGGGGCCCATCAGTTACTCAGAGTCATAGTATTATATTTTAACAGTGCTAACTTGTCGAGTGATTCTTGCTCCCGTTTGTACGTGGTGTTATTGAAATGTATTGTTTGAGCTGAAAGCTGGTCGCTCCCCGGCCACGCTGATATATTTATTTGTAGGTATTTATATAATGAAATATAAAGCCTAGATTTATGGAGTCCCTAGATCACCTTATAAACTATATCAAACAAATATTTTCTGTTCTCCTTTTTAACCATTCAGCATTTGTTAGTCTCGTCCCCTTGCCCTCCTTATGACCTGCAGGACCATCCCTGGTATATATTTTTTGATACTGTACACGTGGTGTTTCTATGTGCAAAAAAAAAATCGTTATCTAAAGCTAAACAAGCTATTATAGAAATTGCTGCTATTAGAAATGTCTAAACTATAAGCTTCCAATTATTAATTGCTTGAATGTAAATATTAAATGGAGATGTTGAAAGTGCATTTGATGTTCTGCAGCTAGTGTAGATCTGATTGCAAAGCCCAGCTGCTGGGAGGTGGAGCTGCCAGCGGCGCTGCCTGGTCCGAGGGCTGTGTCACGGGGGAAGAAATGTATCATGCAATCATTGCAAAGGACTATAAACCTTTACAAAAACTACCAGGATTCAGCGTGCGTTTGTTACTGCAGAGGGGGGCACAGGGAGCAGCCCAGGCTGTGCCTGTGATGTCCCTAGGCAAGTGCTTGCAGGTTAAAATCAGCTCCCTGATGCAACTTGTGGACTATAGTTGTGGCTTTTCCCCAGAGGTGCACAGGAGTGTGTCCCCTGAGCCTGGGGGCACCCTGTGTCCTCCTGGTGCTGTCTGGGCAGGTAGCAAGGCCGTGACAGACAGTGGTTCTGTGTTCCCCTGTCCCTGCAGTGCCAAGGCCAGGCTGGGCATCTCCAAAGCAAAAGGGGTTGCATCAGGTCTGTGGAGGGAAACCTGGGATGCTTCTGGGAATGCAGGCAGGGAAGGTGGCTGCAGTGGATGGGCAGATGCACCCTGGCACTGCCACCCCAGCAGTGTTATCTGGGACAATGTAGGTTAGATGAGGGGTTGAACTTCTCCAGAAAGCAAGATGGTCCAAATTCCACCAGAAAAGCCTGCAGACATTTCTGAAGTAGATTAATAATTGCTGGAGTCCACAAAAACACAGTGCAGGGCTAATTCTTTACCAAATGGCTCACACAACAGTGGCAACCTAGTAGCGTGCCTGTGGAGCCCATCTGCACATGGCTGAGATGCTGCACTTGGTCCCTGCTCCTCCCAGGATCCCCCCAGGATGTTCCTAAGTGGAGTTGAGTGCTTACAAACTCTTTATCTTGTGCTTGCCAGACTGGCTCACTTGCCAGCCTTTCTCATCTTGGGCTGTCCTTGAAGTTTGTTTCTCTTCCAGAAGAGATCCTAGTTGAAATACTGTTGTTGATGGTCTGGGCAGGAGCATGTGAGAAGCAGAATTAATTTGTTTGGGTATTGGAGATTCTGCAGCTATTCTGGAGCTGCCTGAAGCCATGGGTGAGTTGCCCTCACGGTGTGAGGGGCCAAGGGGGGGCAGCACCCTCAGGGCCCAGCCCCCAGGTCCTGCTGTGGCACAGTGTGTGGCTGTGCTGTTCCCAGAGCAAAAATAAGCTCTGCTGTCCCATTTGGGCCACTTAGTCTTCCCAGGCCTAATTTTCTTTAAACAAATTCAAAAGTCAGCTTGGAAACTGTTCCTTTGTAAATCCTGAAGGTTATGTGGTGTCTGCAGAGGGATGGGGCAGCATCTGGCCAGGTGTTATCTGCTGGGACTTGCTCACAACAGGAACCACTGCAGGAGCTCTCTGAGTGTCAGTCTTGCTATAGATTTTCTTATGCCAGAGCCAGAGTACTTCTTTGAGTTAAATTAGAGGAAAAGCAACTGTTGAGTGTGTGGGTGCCATTTTCTCAGCTGCGACAGCAGTGGAGGCTTGTGTCCAATGGAACCATCTTGACTGTGAATGCCATTGTCACAGATGTTGGTTTTGGTCTGGTGTAGCTCAGGTCTGCTGCTCAGCATGCTTGTGTGGTGGTGGGAATGGCTTCTTAAGTTTACACCAGATAAATGGCTCCATCCCATCTATTTGGGTAAACTTGTTAGTGGGGGAAGGTCAGTACTGGCAGCTCAGTTCGTCTCTTGTTGCAGTTGGTGCTGCAGAGTTGATGGGAACTCCTGCAATATGTTTAGAGCCTGTGGTTCTCACTGGCCTGCGTGGGGACCCCAAAATCTGACCGTATGTGTGTGGAGAGCAAGCAGAAATAGGTGAACTGAGATTCAAATCAACACTTTGCCTGTTAGCTGTGCTGAATCTTAAGATGGTTTTAATCAAGTCTACGTGTGACCAGGGCTGTGTGGGTAACACGTGGAGGCAGCAGCAGCCCGGGGTGCTGGAGGGCAGGTGAGCCCCAGCCCACGCCAGGGGATGCCCAGGGATGGTTTGGTGGGAAGTGTTTTTCTGCTGTCCCAGGCTTCGCTGGCAGAGCAGACAATCAGAGATGATGCATTTCCCTTGATTAATTAGGCTAATGGTTATCTGAAAACAAAAATGGCAAGGAAGAGGAGACGCATGCTCAGAATGCAAAACGTGATTTCTGAAAGGGGAAGTGGTGCTCGGCAGGCAGCGGCAGGAGCCGGGAGCAGGGCTGGGCAGGCAGCGCGGGCAGGCTCTGCTGAAGGAGAACAACTTCAGCCACACAGAGGGAGATTAAACCAGCAGGGTTTCTCACAAACTGTGGGATGTGTCTTTTCAAGGTGGACTTGCAGGCTCCTGGCCAAAGCCTGAGCATCTCTGTTGTGAGCCAGGTCAGCAGCTTCCCTCTCCAGTCTGTGGGTGTGGGAGACTCCTGGCAATTCCTGTTTGCAGGTTTACACTGAGCTTAGGTCAGGAATGGTTTTAAAAATTGGATTGGTTGGTGTTGCCAGTTTTTAAGTAAACAATGTTCCTCCTCCTGTGTGGTTTCTGAGCTCCCTTTCCCTGTGCCCACCACTGCTGCATCAGCCCATAGAAGCACCCAAAATACTGTCTGTGCTGGCAGTAGCTGTGGTTTGTTTGAGGCACCATTTCCCGGAAACCACACAGCCAGATATTTCTTAGTTTAATAGTTTGATCATGTTTATCACGACTCCAGCAGCTTCCTGTGCAGGGAAAGGTGTGATAAGTAGTTACTGGTTTAAAAGATGCACGAGTCCCTTGCACTGTGCCAATTGGCTGGGAAGGATTAAGTGTTTAGGATGTGAACTACTTATTCATTTCGCTCTCTCTCAGTATGAAGTGCATCAAACCTAAATGCTTGTTACTGAGCAAATTAATGCAAAGCCCATTATGACTTCAGTGGTTATCAAAGTGATCCAGGACAAGGTGGAACATCACCACGCTCTGTTAGGAAGACTGGTGGGTGCTACATTTCACGTGTTTCCCAGGAATGTGTTAACCTCTGCTTGGTTTGGATTTATTCCAGACAAACATTTGCTGATTTAAAAGGAGAATTTCTGTTTGTATTTTAGCTCTTCAGAAAGGGTCTGGTGCGTCTGTCAATACATGGCAGTGCTGAAAGGAGGAACTGCAAATTTGTGCTGTAAAGCTGCTTTCAGGTTCTCCCCTCCCCGTCTGTGGTGGTACCAGTGTCTGCACCAGCACTGGGGTTACACACAGCTCGCTGAGCTGCATTGCCAGCGCTTGCTGTGGCCCCTGGGTGGCTTCAGCAGGCGTTGGTGCAGTCCCTGCTCCATGGGAGGTGACAGAAACACTGTCCCCAGGCGATGGCCACAGGGCAGCTGGCAGGATGTGCTCCGTGGCACTATAGAAGAGGTTACGTCTCTGGGGTGAGGATGCTGTTAAGAAGAAGGATGTTAAATAAACACACAACATGGAGCTGACATCTTTTAATCAGAGTAAGAAACAGCCTCATGGGGACCAGGAGACTTCTAGGTCCAGACTGGGAATGAGAAAGGAGCTCCTCCCCGCAGAAGGGCAGGAGGTGTGAGTGGCTGTATGCAGTGGGAAGTGGAGCATTTCCTAAGCAGCTGGAGCACTTGGTGCTTTTGCTCATCTGTGGGTGGGGGCAGCTCCTCCAGGCAGCCATTGCTTGTGTTTTGTGGGGTTTTTCCCTTATTTCTCCCGTTCTTGTCGCACTTCACTGTGTGCTGGCAGGAGCTGCCTGCACGACTTCGCTGAATGCGGTGGGCTCAGCAGCTCTGCCCCCTTGGAGAAGCCAGCAAAAAGGTAAAGCATTCCTGGTCCAGTTGGGAAGGGGTGAAAGCTGTTGTTCAGGCTGAATTTTTCCAGGCTCATCCCCTGGAGCACAGCAGGGACTGGACAGTTTGGCTTGTGCGTGTTGGCTGCTATAAACGACTTTAACTCAAACGGTGTCCAACGGGACTGGTCCGGCAGCAGAGCCTCCTGCCAAGGGGGTTTGCTGGGTTTTTGGTGGGGCTGGTGTCCCTCTGTCTGGGAGAGCAGCAGCAGGAGGATGAGGCTGAGGCACAGCTGGGTGAAAGGGGTGCAAAAGGACTTCCCCCAGTTCTGCCCCAGCCCCCAGCTCCTCACCTCCCCCATCTCAAGGGGCTGCCTCTGGTTCAAACAGTCAAAAATGCCTGGAGGTAGGAAATCCTCCGTCTCCTCCACAGATAAGATCATTTGGATTCAGCCCAAATTCATGTGAGATCTGTGTCGGGAGGAGACAACTGCAAGGACACTGCTCTGTTTACGTTTTCATCAGAGGAAGAAAAAGGCCCCACTGTGCTGGCACAGCCTGGAGCATCTCCAGGCACTTCCAGAGGGTCCCCTGCATGTGGAAAAGTTCCTGCCTGCACCCTGAGCTGGGGAGAAACCCATGAAAGGCAAAATGAAGGAGCTCACATGTGCACAAGGTGGCTGCCATCAGTGATACCAGACCCAGACACAGCTCTGCAGCATAGCCAGGCCTTGGGCAGGGCCAGTGTGGGGAGGAAGAGCAGCTATGGAAATGAGATGTTGGATAGAGAGGATGGGGGCTCAGCCCCTGGGCCCACTGTGCTTCCCAGCAGGGACCCCCAGATTGCTGTGGTGAATGACAGGGGAGGGGGACAGGGCTAGATGGCATAGGAGAGGGGCTGTGGTGACTGTAGTTGGGCACTGTGCAGCCATCTGGGGTGGGGGTGGTAAGGAAAGTGGGTCCTGGGGGTGTAGCTGCTGGTAGGAGCCATCTCTGGGGCTGTGCTGGCATGTGAGGCCTTGTGGACACTGAAGGGCTGTTAGTGCATGATGGACCTTTGGGCACAAACAGGAGAAAAACTGGGGTCTCTAGCAATGAAGGTTTGAGGCAGGGGGTGAAGGTGGCCAGGGCCTCCCTCCCTTGGGCTAGAACCTGCCAGTATCTCCAAGCACAGGGCAAGACCCCAGGCTCACCAGGGAGCAATTTGCCAGCACCTACTGAAGCCGTTTCTCAGAGGGAGCCGTCAGCTCAGCTGACACCTTGATGTAGTTTAAAGCAAACTGCAAACATGAAGATTTATTTTTACCAAACAAGCAGGCATATAAAACACGCTGTGCGATGCAGCACAGCCTGGCAGGAGGTTCCCTGGATCCCAGGAGTTGTGGCTTCAGCACATGGGGCCATGTGCTGTCCCTGGCTGACCCCAGGATCCCCATCAAGCACTGGGAACGTTTTGGAAGGGATGGCACTGGCACCAGTTGGGACCACAGGTACTGACCGAGCCAAGTGACTGAGGTTGAGCTCCACCAGTGCTACCGGCTCTCTGTCCCAGGGAAGAACTGGGAAGGGGGTACAGCCACACACCCGTTTTCCAGGTGGATTCAACATTGCCATGGCCCAAGTGTGGATGCAGCCTCAGTGAGATAGGTGTGCTCAGTCAGAACTGCTTGGATCAAGGTAAGAAAGGGAACAGACCAAACCTTTAGGAGGTCTTGCTGTTGTGCTGAAGAGGCCAGGGCAGAAAAGGGCTACAGATAAAGAAAATAAATTGAAAATACTTAGACTGCCTGTTTTTTGTATTTTATAATAATATTTGAGCTGATAGAAGCTTTAATATGTATTTAATGTTGGATAGAAAGACTTTGCTGAGCAAAATGTTCTTGTTGTGCCAATATGAGCCTCTGGGAAGCCACTGGATGCTCAATCTTCTTCTGCAGGGGGCATGAGTCTGGGATGGACAACACAAGGAGCGGTGGCATTTGGTCACAGCCATGGAATGAGCTGAACCCAGATCTTCCAGTGGGAGCAACGTACCCCTGCCCAGGGTTTGCTCCGTGGGGGGCCCTGGGTCACTCGGGTTTGCCCCTTTCCCCTCTCACTGACACCCAAGCACAGGAATAGGAAAATGGGAATGACTCAAACTCCAAAAGCTGCTCCTGGGGTGAAGCTGAAGATGGAAAACTGCTGACCACGAGGCCAGGGTGGAAATTCAGACTCAGCCTTTCCCTCCTGCCCGGTGGGAGCGGGATGATGCTCCGCGTGTGACACCGTGCGGGCACTGCCCTGCCAGCCCGAGGCAGGACCTGTTCCCAGCTGCTTTAGACGGTAAGAAAGTGGCCCCGGGCCTGGAGAGCGAGGAGCCGGGGGGCAGCGAGCGGAGCGACCGTCAGCGGGGCGGGGAGGGGGGTCTGCCGGCTAAAATGGCCACGCTCGGCTGCAGGCGTGGGCTCTGCCATGCGGCAAGGGTTAACCCCCCCAAACGGCATGCTGGGAAAGGGGGCGGCAAAATGCACCGGGGGGGCGGCGGGAGAGGCCGGGG